GGTGGTGGTGGGGCCGCGTGGGGAGAGGAGTGTCGGTATTGCGAGGCGCCGCTCTCCCTACCCTCCGCGGCCGAAACTTGGTTGGCGGCGGAGCCCGAGACCAGATCCGCCGCTGGGGTCGGGAAAGCGGGCGCTATTATGCGCTCGATTTTCCGGGCCCACGGCCTCCGCGTAACGGACTCGGGGGGGTCCGATACGCAGGTGGAGTTGGATGCTGTGGAGGGGGGTAGCTGAACACCTCGCTACCCCGTGCAGGAGACGAGGCCCAGACAGACCGGGCCAGCACTAGTGTGCGGAAGAATTTGGATTCCCGCGGCCCCGCGCGCACGTGCGAGGAGGCACCGTGGGGTTTTAGCCGGTAGGAGTCCGGCATAACCTTCCGGTTGCCCCCGCAGCCGGAGGTATCCATGAGGATTTCCCCACGAAAAAAAAAGGTTAGGTTAGGTTAGGTTAGGTTCCCCCCCGAACGGGTTCCCGTCTTGTCGTGGCGGGGGGGCTTAGTAGCCGTGGCTTGGTCAACCGCGGTGAACGAAGAGGAACCCCTTGGCTGGCCCGAGGTGTAGGGCCGGCCCGAGGTGGCCACTCCGAGTGGGCTTGACGAGCACACTTCGGATGTGTGTTGGTGGGCTGCGGTGAGAGGGGTGTCCGCTCCCTCTACCGCTGTAGCCGAGGTGGAGTCGCGGAGGAAGAGAAGTGTTGGTATGGCGATGCGCCACTCGCCCTATCCTCCGCGACTCAGACGGGGCCGCACCGTTGATGCGGTGGTGATGGGGCCGCGGGGGGAGAGGAGTGTCGGTATTGCGAGGCGCCGCTCTCCCTACCCTCTGCGGCCGAAACTTGGTTGGCGGCGGAGCCCGAGACCAGATCCGCCGCTGGGGTCGGGAAAGCGGGCGCTATTAAGCGCTCGATTTTCCGGACCCCATGGCCTCCGGGTATCGGACTCGGGGGGTCCGATACGCAGGTGGAGTTGGAGGCTGTGGAGGGGGGTAGCTGAACACCTCGCTACCCCGTGCAGGATACGAGGCCCGGACGGACCGGGCCAGCACTAGTGTGGGGCTGCGGAAGAATTTGGATTCCCGCGGCCCCGCGCCCACGTGCGAGGAGGCTACGTGGGGTTTTAGCCGGTAGGAGTCCGGCATAACCTTCCGGTTGCCCCCGCAGCCGGAGGTATCCATGAGGATTTCCCCACGAAAAAAAAAAAAGGTTAGGTTAGGTTAGGTTAGGATTTTTTTTAATGCTTTACCCATTTGGAATACCCTATCGGTATACGATTCCTAATGGTTTTTGAGCTTTTGTTTGAATGAGAATTTATATTTGGTCCACATTTTGCTACGAGGGTGGATTGAAAAGTACTCGGCCTAACACAGATCCATTCAATTCTAAAAATCAAATCTATCCACATTATTTAGTTCAGTTCAGACTAGTTCATTGTGTGAAGTTCGAAACGTGTGCGATTATTAGTTGTGATTTTATAAATTTATTAACAAAGTAATCGGACATAATTTCCGCGAATGGAGCAAATCGAGCAGCGTGCCGTCATTAAGTACCTCCATAAGAAGGGGCTATCATCAAAAGCCATCCATGATGACATGGTCAGTACATTAGGCGATTGTGCTCTGTCATGTTCATCCGTCAAAAAATGGATAGCAGAATTTAAGCGTGGTAGAGAGAGTGTGAAAGATGAACCCCGCTCTGGAAGGCCTTCGACGTCAACTACTGACGAAAATATTAAAAAAGTACTTGATTTAATAATGGGAGACAGCAGATTAAAAATTAGAGAAATAGTCGAGATTATAGGCATCTCTTATGAATGAACTCAAAACATCATTGTCAACGAGTTGGGTTTCCACAAGGTGTCTGCGAGGTGGGTTCCGCGACTGCTTTCAGTTGAACAAAAAAGGACGCGATTGACTATTTCACGCGACTGTTTGGAGTTATTTGAAGCCGATGCAGATGATTTTTTGAATCGTTTTGTTACTATGGACGAAACATGGGTTCATTACTGTACACCGGAAACAAAACAACAATCAAAACAGTGGAGAAGACCTGGTCCACCACCCCCTAAAAAGGCTAAGTCGATTTTGTCGGCAAATAAGGTGATGGCTTCAGTATTCTGGGACTCGAAAGGTGTGATTATGATTGATTATCTTGAAAGGGGTCAGAATATAAACTCTGATTACTACTGCACCTTACTACGTCATTTACGAGAGGAAATAAAAGAAAAACGTCGAGGAATGCTCAGAAGAAAAGTCCTGTTTCATCAAGATAACGCCCGTGTTCACACGTCAGTACAGTCAATGGCTGAAATTCACAACTGTGGCTTTGAACTGTTACCGCAACCGCCGTATTCACCTGATCTGGCACCATCAGACTTCTTTCTGTTCCCTAACCTAAAAAAGCACTTGGGAGGTCAAAGATTTTCGACAAACGACGAGGTCAAAGCAGCTGTAGACGCATATTTTGACTCTAAGGAAGAATCATTTTTTTTCAACGGTCTAAATGCTTGGAAGGGGAGGTGTCAAAACTGTATTGAACTTGATGGTGATTATGTAGAAATATAAAAATATAACTGATTTAGTATGTGTTTATTTTCTTGGTTAGGCCGAGTATTTTTCAATCCACCCTCGTATGTTTATCGATAACATTTACATTTGAGATCTTTTGACAATGGTTCGCATAATATTTTTGAATAATGAATTTTGTTTATGATTTTCTTAAGACAAGTAGAAAATTAGTTTGATTAATCTTAATAAATATTTTTATGTATATATATTTCTATTATAGACTACATATATAATTTTAATAAAACAAAAATAACAATTTACATACAATGATTATCTTATTTATTAAATATTTTACTTAACTCTCCTTAGAGTTACTTAATTGGAAAATTCTACAAATTTTAACTTACTATAGCTGTATTATTGTTGAAGTTTTTTAATTTACTTATAATATAAATGACATGGGCCTTAAAAGTTTGTATTGTAGTTTCTTTGGAAATTATTTGTGATAAATTATATGGTTCTATCCTTAAGACAGTGCACGCAACCTCGTGTTCCATTCTTGTTTTAATAAATACAGGGCAGTTTTTTATGAGATGTGTCATGAATTGTACACTTGTTTGATCGCATGGGCATTTATTATCATTTGTTATTTTAAAAAGATGTAAATATTCCTTATGATATCCATGATTGCTAAAATATTGGGTTATGGCAAAGTTAAGTGTAAGTGCTTTAACAGTTAGGGTGAGTTGCTCGTATGTAGGACAAAGAGATTTGGTGTATATGCCTTTGTCACTTTGAAGGTAGGTAGGTCTTCCGTTTCTTTAAGGGCGCGCTGTCGATTAAGGTATTTTACATAGGTTATTGGGAATTTGGCAAATTCATAAGATCGGTGTGAAGCTGCCGCGCTTTTAGCAGCTGCATCCGCTTCCTCATTGCCAGAAATTCCAGTATGACCTTTAATCCAGCAAAAAGTGACTTTTAAATTAAGTGATTCAATCTGATGTATTATCTTATGGATCGATACTACGAGGGAGTTATAACTATTTTCATTAGCAATTTCTTGAAGACCCGATTTACTGTCGGAAAATATGTGTGTGGGATTGATTTTGTGTTCCATAATCCATTCGCAGGCTTTTGAAATGGCGAGAAGTTCGGCTTGAAAGACTGAACACGAGTCATGTAATTTATATTTACGTGTTAGTTTTTCGCCGGTCGGTTTGTGTATCACAAATACGGCACCTACTTTATTGTTGTGCTTGCTACCATCGGTGTAAATTCGGTAAACATTTTTAATATTATCTGTTGGTGTTAGTTTTTCAGTAAATTTAATAGGTTTTCGCAACGACGGGTGTAATATATTTCCTGGCTCAGCGGGAACGTCTAGGGTGATATCAGAAGGTAGGTACTGTGATACATGTGTGATTCTTGTGCGTTCATTATCTGCCATTTCCTGTATTTTTATTGGGAGCGGGCATAATTGGGCAAGTGATATGGAAGCTACTGTATTCACGGTTCTAAAGCCACGGATAATTCTAAGGGCAAAGTTTCGTTGCAAAGAGAGTAGTTTCTCTTTCACACACTTGTACCCGATTGCAGATTGCCAGATAGAGGCAGCATAACAGACTATTGGCTCAATCACATGTCTATAAATAATTTCTATATTTTCGGAATGAATGCCCCAAGTGGACTTGACGAATATTATTAACTTAGTGTATAGTTTACGGACTTTGTTGACTATGTAATCTACATGTTTGATGAATTTTAGCTGTTTGTCTATTAAAACACCTAGAAGCTTAATCTCGTTGGAAAACATCACCTGATGACCAGACATATATAGTTTGCATTTTGCAGCCTTGCAAGTAAATGCGATGGCCTGTGTCTTGGCAACTCCAAAAGTAAGTTTCATCTCGCGACCCCATTCAGTTATTATATTTAAAGCATTCTTTGCGTTAAGCTGTAAATCATTACTATATTTGGCGTGTACAAGGAGGACTATATCATCCGCAAATGCTTGTATCGTAACTCCAGGCGGCATGTCTATGTCAAGAAGTTCATCCACAATTAAATTCCAAAGAAAGGGGTCACAGACCGAACCCTGGACGCAAACTCTCGTCAGAGTTTTACTAATCGTGCTGTCTCCAAAATGGATAATTGCAGATCGATTTTGAAAGTAGCTACGCAGGATAGAATAAATATTACGGGGGCATTTAATTTTATGTAGTCGGCGGTATATTGCCGGCCACCAGGCCCAATCGAAGGCAGCTTGGATATCTAATGAAACCGCGAGTACCTGCTCTTTATTGGCTATGGCATGGTTGATTGTGTCCATTATATTGGTTAATGCATTGACGGTAGAGGTTTGTTCTTTAAAACCGAACTGTGCTGAATTAAAAAGATCGTTCTGGTGCATGAAGTATGTTAATCTTCGTATAACAAGTTTTTCAAACAGTTTTCCAAAAACATTAATCAGACCTATGGGTCGGAAGGAAGAGATATTTAGGTAGTCATTCTTGCGAGGCTTAGGGAGAATTTTAATGAAAGCTTTCTTCCAAATTTCTGAAAATATCCGAGTTTGAAACAACGGTTAATTACTGAAGTGGTGAGATCTGGGAAGCTTTTGACAAATAATAAGCAAATATCAGAAGTAAGATGGTCCATGCCGGGTGCTGTTTTCGGGTTCATACTATTTAAGCTACTGAGAATTTCTTCGTAGGTAAAAGGGGGTTCATCTGGAGTATTTGGTGAGATAGTTGCTAGGTTTCGGGCATTTTCTTGTTTTGTTGTATCATTTAGGTCATCATCGGGGAAAAATTTATCAAGAAGAGCTTGGGCAGTTTCCAGACTGGTGGTGGTGTAAGAACCATCGCTTTTCTTTAGGGTTGCTGGTGGTAGCGCAGGTGGGCTCGATTTAATAATTCTGTTTGTAACGGACCATACATCCTCCTTCCCTTGCCTTTCACAAAAGTCTCTGAAGTTTCGCGTGGAAGTTTCACGGAAGGTTTTTGAGTTAGCAGTTTTTAAGCGTTCTTTTTCCAATAGGGCATCTTCAAGTGGTTTATTTTGTCGGCGCAGTTTTTGTATGTTATGATGGTTACGTATAACTTGTTTTTTGAGACATTCAAGTTCATCTGTCCACCAAGGGCAACGGTATTTTCGACCAGTTGACCTTGGGAGTAGCTCATCACATGTTTTTTGAATTGCCGATGTAACTGTGATCATGTAATTTTCAAGTTCATTTGGCTGCATCTGTTCAACCATAACATTTTGTGGTACATGTTCCTTAATTTTGGCTTCAAAGGAAGCCCTTAGTTCTTCCCATTTTATATTATTCGTATTGTATCTGAACGTACTGGTTGTTTTGTTGGTTTTTCTCCTTTTACCATGAGTAGTGACAGAGAACATCACCGCCCTGTGTTCAGAAGACAAACAGATTGAAGGATCCACTTTCCAGTCTGTAATCCGGTCATATATAGAGCTAGAAGCAAGTGTAAGATCAATATAAGAGCTGCGCACTCGCCCATAAGATACTGTCTCGAAAGTAGGGGTATGACCTCTATTACACAAAAACATGTCGTTGCCATAAACGATGTCAACAACTTCATTTCCCCGCGAGTTTGCCCGTTCGCTACCCCAGATAGGGTGCCAACCGTTAAAATCGCCTCCAACAAGCTGATGGCAGTTACTGGTCATTTTCAAAAAGTTGTCTAACCGTTGCAATGTATTGTGATCGTCACTATTAGGTTCGATATAAACAGATGCTATGTATAGTTTACAGCCCCCAATATTTAATTGAACCGCGCTAAGGTTAGCTGACGAAAATTGGGATAGACCCAGTACGGAACCACAACTAGATTTTGTCATTATGCACGCCTTAACCCTGTTACCATTGGAAAACTGAAATATGTTGATACCAGGGATGGATTTAACAATATTTCCAGATCCAACATAAGGTTCTGACACCAAAGCTATCTGGAATTGGCCGGCCATAAAAGAGAGAATAAATTCATGTTGACTGTTCTTTGACTTATCTAAGTTACAATGTAATACTTCGAGTTCATTGACTTGATCCATAATCTATACGGTTTATGATTCTTTCTTTTATGGTTCGCAGTCTGGGGCAATAAGTGGATGTAGCCTTATGTTTGGTATCAAGTTTTGTGTTGAACTTGGTATTATGTGCGACACAGTTAATACACTGAGCGCAGTCCGGGTTATCTTTTTTAGAACAATTATCAGATTTGTGTGTTGTTGCGGCACAGTGACCACATGCAGTATTTTCCAAGGTGCATTTATTCTTTGTGTGGCCAAACTGGTAACAATTATGACATTGCATAAATGGTGAAAATTCCTCAACGTGTATACGCTGATGATCGATTGATAATTTACTCATGCTAATGATTTTTCTCCAAACTGTGGGTTGAGACCGAAAGACTGCATTGTATAGGTTTGGGTTCCTGTTAGTGCGTTTAAAGCAAAATTTTAAATCATCCTGTGCCGCAATGGTATCAGACAGTTCAGAATTTTGCATTTTAATAATATCCACTAATTCTTCAGCTGGGGTGTCAATAGAAATTCCTTTCAGAATTATCATAGGCCTAAGTTTTCGTGCGGGTTCAGTTGTAACTACCTCAGAATTCAATAAACGTGTTAGAGTTTCGTCACACTGCTGTTCGTTATCAAACTCGACCCTTAATATATTGTGTGACACAGTTTGAACGCGAGCCGGTGCATATGTGGTAGTACGAAAGCTGATACTTTTGCGCCAAACGTCAATCACTTCCTGCTTATTTTTTACGTCTGTTTTGGGGGCGATGATTATCGCTGGTTTGGTTGCAGGTAGAGTAGCCCTGTGGTTGTTTATCTTTGGTGATTGAATCGCATTTGATGAAGCAACTTATGCGTAAGATGGTCGCCCCAGATAAGTGCTGCTAACTGAGTTCTTGAAATTAGTCATTTCTTCACGAACACAAGTGATAATATCATTTTTGAGTTCCTCTGCGGGACTAGTCAGCGTGGCTGTAATATTAGTAAGAACCAAGTTTGCTCTCCTTATTTCTTCGGATGCAACTGTGATAAGGCGCTTATTGGCTGACGTGACACTCTTACCGTAATTGACCGCGTTCACAATGCATGCTACCAATTTATTAACGACTTCCGTATACTTAGAAACATTAGTGATTTCTTCTGCTGTCGCGGGCAAAATCGGCAAATCACTATTACCAGGCGCCATTATAATTGTATTTTACGTTATAATATACAGTACAAGATATAACATTAAAACTCTATGAGAAAAATGAAGCAGAAATATTGACAAAATGTAAATTAAAATTGCAAAATTAACCTAAGTAATGAAAACAAGGAGGGTGGGAGGGCGATTTTTTTCAATTTCCCTGTGTTTTATTAAAAATTTTAGTGCAGATGGCAGTTTCTACACGGGACGGACCTAACAGGAGCAAAAAAAGCGAATGAAAAGAAAATTTTAAAAATTTTATAAATTTACGACTATACGAAATCGAAAAATATGAAAATTAGTAATTTAACTGTGAAAATTTACAAATAAAACTATATGATAATATGAGGGGTAATTAGTTACACTATTTAAGTAGAAAATTTGAACGAAAAAGCCCAATTTTAAGCAAATTTATAGAAGAATTTATGTTTTTCTTTATGAATTTACTCCTATAATATGATTTAAACAAGAAAATTAATTATATGACGGTAACAATATACTACAAAAGATTTGAATGAAAAAGGTCAATTTTTAGCAAAGTTATAATCAAAGTTCTATTTGGTTAGGTTAGGTTAGGTTTTTTTTTCTGCTTCTCTGTTGTTGTCCTCATTATGACCACTGTCCCGTATGTGAGGCCTTGGGCCTCATGTACGATTAAAATTCGCGACCCAGGACCCGAACCATATCCCTGGCTTGTAAGGGACTTCTTTTCTGCTTGCGTGTATACAAGATATAATGTATTTGGCAGGATACCTGGAATGACGACTCCCGTGTACCTTTTCCTTTCCAGTGAATGCACCTGAGATCTGGATGAATATATGCCATTGTAGATTTCACTCAGGGCATATGCCACATCCATCGGATTCCGGTGCGTGCACAGGAGTTCTTGGCTGATTGTGGTCACGAGGCTTGGGCGAGTATATTGCATCGCAAAGAAGTTTTCCCTGTCGATATACGGAAGTTGATTGATGTCACCGATGAGCAGTATTTTTTCCGCTCCACTCAGTCGCATTGCCATTACTATGGCCCCGAAATGGTTCATGAGAGCTTCGTCGACTAAAAGTCGAGTGCATCTTCTGTTTTGCCTTCTCATGGCATTTACTAGAATTGAGGCCATAGTGCGTACTTTTGTTTTTGCGTCGGTGCCAATGCGGTTGATTAATTTTTCCCTGAGGTCTTTAGCTGCTTCTGTTGTTGTAGTGACAATCAAGTCATTCTCCGCATCGAATTGTTTTATAACCCAAGTCGTTTTTCCACACCTCGGGACCCCATTGACCCAATTTATTGTCGGCACCGTCCAGCTTTCCCAAGGATCTCCTGTTTCACAGGTTCTCGAGATGGCTTCCGCCATGTTCAGGATCCTGTCTTCTAGCGTCACCCTGGTACAACGGGCGGTGACCACAATAGGGTCGTTGGGGGGGGGGGGGGTTTGAATACTAATCTACCCTGTCGTTTCGTCTCCTCCTCTTCCAAGGATACAAAGTCCGCTGACCCGCTATAAGCCGCCATGTGATGGCCCATTTTACCTCTTATGACTGTGGATGTTTTGTTGTCATAAATTGCGGCCTCTGCCTCCTCGAGCTGCACCTCAAGAAACTCTTGACTACCGAGGTGGAAACTTTGTAAGATGTTCCTACAAGTCGTTTGGTTCACCTCAAGAGTTGCTTTTCTGAGGGTTTTGAACTCTAGGAACGAGTTGATTATGTGGTCCTTAGGCCCAATCGCCGGTAGAAGCTTTGGTGGGCCGACTCGTCCTGAACAGGGTTTAGTGTAGGTGGGTTGGGATTTCTTGAGAACTCTCGGAGGCTCTCTTATTAAGTTTTCGGCTTGCCTTATCTTTCTTAACTTTCGGATTGCTCTTCCTGGAATGCTTTGGGCCGCTGCACTAATGGTATTAATTAATGCACTTACCCCGCTTTGAGACTCAGAACTTTTGGTAATTTTTTCTCTGGCTGCGGCCTTTTCTTGGGCCGTTTTCAGTTGCAGGCGTTCTGAGCCACTAAGTGTTTCTGGATATGCTGTTTGGTGTTGAGTTGCCATAGTCGAGTCGTGATGTTTGAGGAAGCTCAGGTTTTCGCCCCTATCCTCATACACGACTATTTCATGTTTATTTGAGGCTTTTATGCAACCAATGTGGTCCACGACTTCACCTTTCTCATACAAGACCACCATGGCGTCCACACTTACGATGCGAGGTATGTCCACTGTCTCTACCTCACCGAGTCTCGTTAGCAGTGAGCATGCCTGGGCGAATGGAGTTTTCTGTTCGCTCCATGTGAACAGCAAGATCGTTTTGTTTTTCTACCTTACTATTCGACATCGTTGGTTGGCGACTTCTATCTCAATTAGCGCATCGTATGTTTTGCGCTTCATGCTCGTTTTGAAGGTACTGCCGTTTAGTAAGCTTGCGAGACCGGGAGAGATTTTGACATAGTTTCGGCCCACTGTTGAGCAAAAGCTTAGCCCGAAACGCTCTGTGTTGTCATCCATGAAGAGAGCTACTCCTCGAATTCTCAGGCCTGGATTGCCTCTTTCAGCGCATGCAATTAGCTGATATTCTACTTTATTGGCTGGGATGCTCTTCTCTTTTATGCAAACTTCTATAGACTCCGCAACAGTTTGCTGATGTCTGGGGGATGGATCGTTTGTGGCGTTGCGCTTCGCAGCGGCGCGGAAGATGGACTCCACGAATGCCAGGAATTTGTGCCTTTTGTCATCTTCTTAGATTATTTTATGTAGGTCAGATTTATTAAGATTGGCGTTTATCCGGAACTCAAGGTCTAGACGTGCCGCTTGATAGCGGGGACACTCAAGAATCACATGCCACACTGACTCACTAACATTCGGATCGCACTCGCACCCTGGAGTGTCTTTTAGTTTAAAGCGGTGCAAGTATTCCGCAATTCCACCATGTCCTGTTAACACTTGTACCTGTGTGGGTGTCAACTTGGTTTTCCTCACTATCCGGTATGCTTTTGCTATATCCGGAAGGAATGTTTTGGTGACATGCCCAGTGGTGGAGATCTCGTATCTGTCCTGCCAGATCCAAACAGTTTCCTCTCTGATTTTCTTTTTAACATAGGACACGGGAATTTTGTCATAATCTAGAGTGGCTGTTTCCCGGAGTGCCGCCGCCTTGGCAAGCTCGTCGGCTCTCTAATTTCCGGACGTGCCTACATGGGCCCTCAACCAGAATAGTCTTATTTTTCTTCCCTCTTTTCTCATCTTCCCTATGCTTTCTTGTATGGCTTTCGATAGGGGATGGCTTGCTTTAGGGTTCGCTAGCAGATCGAGCGAAGATCTTGAGTCGCTCATTATGTTAATAACGGGTTCTAGGGTAACGGGTGCTAGCTTGGTTGCCCTGAGCAAGGCGTAGAGCTCGGACTGGAAAACTGTGCAGGATGGGTCCAGTCTAAAGGTGGAACTACTGGTCTCCCTGCCATCTTCCCAACATGTTAAGGCTGCTCCGACCCTCCCTTCTATTTTGCTTCCATCAGTGTATATGTGAGGGCCGGTTAGTTGGTGGAGATTTGTTTTTTCTACCGTTTCCAGTAACTCATAATCCAATTTGATGAGTTTAGAGGGATGAGGTTGGTCCAAGTGATTTACTCGGTTTTCAAGCTCTCTTCCTGGTGGTAAGTAGTCTAGTGAGCCTTGTTTCTTGGTCTTGTACAGGCTAGACGCCTCTTGTATTCTCAGGTCTAACGGAAGCAGACCCGAGATGGCGAGTGCGGAAGTGAGCGACACCGTGCGGTACGCTTTACAGATCTTCTGCGCGAAGCCCCTTTGCAACGTGTTAAGTTGGTCTTTAATCATCTGTAGTTCTGTTGCTGAAGACCAC